GGGGTTTCCGGCCGCGCCTCGCCGCGGCCCTCGCGCTGGCCGGCGCCGCGGGCGCCGGCGTCGCATGGTGTGCCGCGCCGCGCTCGGGCGGCGGGCCCGCGCCCAAAGGCTGGGCCGGAGGCGGCCCTCGGAGGAGGAAACGGTACCCATACCGCTGCCCCTTGCCTCGTTTTCCCCTGTTTGGGGCCTCCTGGGAGGCCCTCGTCGCCACCGCTGGATTCGCTTCGACATCCTGGTCAGAACGCGCCCCGGCAGAGGTCTTGGGAGTAGCAGTATCAGTACCCTTTGGTTCCCCCAGGCATGGGAAAGTCCAGGCCCGGGGGCGGGGTGCCCAGCGTGGAAGAGCTCTACGAGGTGGCCCGAGGGGTCCACGAGGACCTGGACGAGCGCCTGCTGGGCTACACGCGGCAGTTTAGCGGGGAGGCTGGAGCGAGCGACGAGGCACAGGAGCTGGGTTGGGCAACTGCTCAGGGAGCGAGTTTGGGATCGGGCAACTCCTCGGACATCGAGGGTATGCTGTCCAACCTGTCGACGAGCGTGTCAGAGGGGATTAGCGAGATGCGTAGCCTAGAGATCATGGCTTGCTTGGCCGACTCGTGGCAGGTCATCTCCAACATAGGCTCGATCATAGTGAACATCGAGGCTCTCACGAAGGCGTGCGCGCAGCCGTACCCGCAGAGCGTGGAGAAGAGGACCACCTGCGCATCGCTCGTGACCCTGAACCTCGCCAAGTGGGGCTACCTCGGAGCGAACATCTGCAACCTGATCTCCTCGTGCCCGGGGGTCTTCAACGTGGAGGCCACATGCGCCCTCGGCCCGATCGGGATCTTCGCCAGCGGCAGCGGCGTCGCGAACGGCGCCGCCACCATGGCAGGCAACTGCAAGCAGGGGCTCGCGGCGCCCCCAGAGGGCAGCGTGTCGAACGAGACGATGGAGGACCTGGTTGAGCTGGAGATCGGCGGTGGCCGCCGCTTGAGGACTGGCAGCGGTGGCGGTGCAGCCCTGCCAGATTGGGTCGGCCCCACCGACGCCGGTGCCTCTCACGGCACTCCGCTCGGAAGGTACGCGGAGCAGCTGGCGGCGTCATCTCGGGCCATGGCCGAGCGCGGGGAGTTGCCCACCATCGAGACCGTCACGGTGGACGGGAGGGAGCTCTTGATCCCCGCGGGGGCCAGCCAGGGGGAGATCAGCGCGGTCGTCGAGGCGGAGGCCAGGAGGAGCCAAGACGTTGCGCCGGCCGACGCGCCGCTGAGCAGCGCTCAGAAGTGGGCGATCGCGGCCTGCGTCTTCGACACGCAGACGATGGTCGCTCGGTTCATACAGGCAGCCGCGTTCATGGGCTTCGCCATCCTCGATTGCAGGAAGGAGGTATTCGACGAGTTTGGGTTTGGCATGAAGAAGAAGTGTGTGATCGACATCGGCGTCATGACCGCATCGCTGGCCATCGCATCGAGCATGATCTCTTTGGACATCATTAATTGCCCCCACACGCTGAAGTACATGCCCGACAACCTCTGTGCCTCCGGCATCCTGCAGATCATCTCCTCGACGTCTTATTTCGCGGTTGCTTTCGCGAGCATCGCGGACGCCTGCTACGATCTTGACCCGAACCACCCGGAGCCCAACACTTCTGTCCGGAAGCGGTGAGCAACCACCTGGGCTGCCAAAGAGAGGGGCCAACGAGGCCTCGAGACGCGGCCCGTTTTTTTGTTGTTGCTTGTTTTTGTATTGTTTTTTTTGTTACGCTGCCTCTTTGCCTGGTGGCTTCGGTGAAGGCTGTCCGTCAGACGGGTACGGCGGGGGCCATCCACGCGCGCGGGCAGGGAAGGCAGATGCCTGATTCTGAGCGCCCTGGGGCTGCTAGAATTCACGCGCCCGCCCGCGCTCTGGCAGCACGGGTCCACGAGAAGGCAGTGGTAGAGCCACTCCTCCGGGGCCAGTCCACGATTGTCGATTTGGGGCTCAGGGGAGTTGCAGGCGAGGCCTCCGAATAGCCCGAGAAGGCGCCAGGCGAAGCCCAAGACGCTGAGCCCAGGGCGGCTCAGAGGCCCCTGGGTCTCACGCTGGTCGCTCCGAGAGGGAGGTGGCCTGGCTCCGCTGGAAGCCGATGGAATCGATAGTTGTGATGAGCCAGTCCGTTTACGCCCGCCTGGGTTCGGTCGGTGACCTACTTGACTAGCTTGGACCAGAGTGGACGATGTGTCTCGCCTCTCCGTGTCGTTCTGCCGTGGCATTGCCTCATTGGCGCCACCGATTGCCCACGGAGTCGGCGGGACGCCACCTCTGCCTTTATCTCCCCCTCCCCGTCCTCTCCCCCTCCTCCCTCTTCTGTCGTCCGCGCACCTGCCTCAGGCCACGATGCGGTTGCCCCCGCCTGACCCCCCTCTTCGGCGCACCCGACTTTGAGCCAGTCCGTTAACGCCTGCCATAGCTCGGTCGACTTTCCATTTGACCAGCTTGGACCAGCTTGGACGATGCGTCTCGCCTCTCCGTGTCGCTCTGCCGTGGCATTGCCTCATTGGCGCCACCTACTGCCCACGGAGTCGGCGGGGCGCGACTTCTGCCTCCCCCTCCAACTCTTCTCCCCCTCCACCCCGCCTTTCGCCTTATTCGCCTCCCTCCGCACTCTCCTCTCATCAATTCAGGCGGAATCGAGTTTCCCTGGCTCATGCAGTGGACCTTCTATGGCATCTCAGGCAGCAGAACACGTAGATATTCACTCGTTGCGTGTATGCTAAATCATACATCCACGTCCCTGCGATGGTCTTCTGCGGTAGCTATTATAATCTCCCTGTATGCGTATATACTACACATACATCTGTACATACACCTGCATATGAACATATCCATATACATACATATTTACACACATACACACATACATACATACACCCATACATACAAACAAACATACATATGTACAACATGCATAATTTCATACATACGTACACGCATGCATGCACACACATACGTACATATATATATATATACACAGACATGTATATGTATATACATACATACATACATACATACATGCATACGTATTTACTTACTTACATACACACATACATACACACATGCATACATACATACATACAATCACACATGCACATACATGCATGCATGCATGTATGCATGTATACACACAAACATACCTACCTACCTACCTACCTACCTACCTACCTACATACATACATACATACATACATACACACATACCATACTTAAATACATACATACATACATACATACATACATACATACATACATACATGCATGCATGCATGCATGCATGCATACATACACATATACGTATATATACATACATACATTCATCCATACATACATACATACACACAACCATACGTGCATGCATACATGCATACATGCATGCATGTATGCATGTATGTTTGCATGCAGGCGTGTGTGCATCTATGTATGTACGTATGTATGTATGCATGCACGCATGTATGTATGTAGGTAGGTAGGTCGGCATGTGTGCATGTTGGTTTGTATACATACATACGTGTATGCATGCATGCATGGATGGATGCATGCATGCATGTATGTATACATCCATGCATGCATGTCTGTGTGTCTGAAGTCTGTCTGTCTGTCTGTCTGTCTGTATGTATGTATGTAGGTATGTATGTATGCATGTATGTATGTATGTATGTGTACATACACACACATCTATACATATGTATATATATATATATATATACACGGGTACAGGGCCCGGGGCCTTGTCCCAGCTGCCTCGACTCGCCTTTGAGGCTCCGGGCTCCCCGGATACCCTCTCCAGCGGCCCGAGAGCCGCCCAGACGGCCTTGAGTGGCGTCACAGTGACACCAGAAGGCTGCGAGATGTTCCGCGGGGCTTCCGGGCAGCCCCATATAAATTCAAGACGGCTCAAGAGGACTCTTTTTCGCTCCCCAGAGGGCCCCAAGAGGCAACAACCAATTGATTTACCATGCTTTTTTGTTCGATGTTTTTGGAGTTCTCGACTTTCGAGCTTCCGACGCTCCACGACGTCCCAAGAGGCCTCCAAGACCGCCCCAAGACGGCCCAAGAGACCCCCAAGACCGCCCCAAGACGGGCCAAGAGGGTCCCAAGAAGGCCCGAAGAGGGGCCCAAGCCGGGCCAAGATGGATGATCCTAAGACGGCCCCAAGAGAGACCTACGAGCAGGAGCCCGAAAGGACAATTCGAGCCTTCCGTCTTAAGATGCTCCCCAGACGGCCCAAGAGGGCTCGCCGAGCGCTCCCCAGAGGGTCCCAAGAGGCAGAAACCATTGATTTTCCAAAGTTGTTCAATGCTCTCGGGCCTCTCGGCTGTTCCATCTTCCAGCGCTTCACGACGTCCCAAGAGACCCCCAAGACCGTCCCGAGACAGACCGCCAAGAGGTCCCCAAGAGCGCCCAAAGACGGCTCAAGGGGGCCCCGAGCGGCCCTAGACGCGCCCAAGAAGGCCCCAAGACGGTCCCAAGAGGTGCCCGAGCGCAGGAGCCCGAACCGATACTTCGAGTCTTCCGTCCAAGATGGCCCCAGACGGCCCTAATGGACTAATGGACTCGATGAGCGCTCCCCAGATGGCCGCAGGAGGCAAACATCAATGATTGTCTTTGGATTTTAATATGTCTTCGAAGGTCTCGACTCATTCGAGCTTCCAGCGCTCCACGACGTCTCAAGAGACCCCTAAGACGGCCCAAGAGAACCCCTAGACGGCCCTAGACGCGCCAAAGACACCCCAAGAGAGCTTCGAGACGGCCCAAAAAGGGCCCCTAAATTGAACACAAACCGCTTCCTCGTCAAGGAGGGTGTTGTGTTAAATTTGTGTTAAATCCATGGGGCTCGGGGGGCGCTGTGGGAGCTCCTTTGGCGCCCCTGTGGGGGCTCCTTGGAGGCCCTGTTTGAGCCTGTCGCAATGGTTTTTGTGGGCCTATCCGTGGTCCTGACGTCCAGGTCCATCGGTGATCGTCGTTGGAAGCGTTGTGGCCCTCGTCGGTTCTCTCGAGGGCGTCCTGAGCTGTCTTGAAGCCCTCCTGGGAGTCTCTTGCAGGCTCTGGACAGCGGTGCCAGGGATGGCACGGGATGGCCCAGATCCGCGGGGGGGCAGGGCGCTCGGGAAGGAGAAGGAGAGACGAAACCAATGGGCCACGAAAAGCCGAAGGTAGGAGTCGGGGAAGGAGGATAGAGGAGAGTCAGGAGGAACATAAATGAAGGACCAAGGGACGACGGGAGGTTGGAGCAGCAGCTGAGCAGGGCTACGTCATCATTTCTCGTCCCCCACCTCCTGTTTCCCCCAATGACCCTCTCGACGTCGTTATTTTCTGTCCTGCCTCAGCCCGCCTCATGGAGGCGGCACTCATGTTCCCCGGTCCCCTGCGAGGCCCCAGAGTGACCTTCCAGAGGGCAGCGCCTCGGTCCGAACTCGCAAGCTCGGAGCCCCCCAAGCAGGGCCCGAAGACGAGGCAAGAACCACGGAAACCACGGCCAAGATGTCGCGGTATTTGTTGATGCCGACCTTGGTCATGGTCCATGTCAGCATGTCAGTCGCCGCGGGGGTCTAGGTCTTGTGGGGGCCCCGCCATTGAGGGGAGGTGGCCTCGATCCCTCCCGCATGCTGGGGTTGCACAGGCGATTGATGCGCCGGCGGCGCGGACGCACCCTGACGGGTGTACGCCGCGGACGCCGTTACCCTGATCCTCCCGCCAGACCCCCCCGGGGTAACGACCGTTACCCGGGGGAACAAAAATTGTCACGCAATAGCCCTGAGATCCGACGTTGCGACAACATTGCAACTTCACGAAAAATCGCGACTGGATCCTCAGACCCGATTTTTCTGCAGCATATCTTGAGCCAGATCGATCCTTGATGGTCCCGAGCCCCGAGGCTGGGCGAAAACGCACAGTTCGAAACAAATGCGGCGCCCAGATCGCGGTCGTAGGATCGCGCCGCACCGCCGAAACACCGCCGATGCGGCTCGACGTGGATCCCAATGTTCTCCACGCCGACGGCACCGATGCATCGCCGACGTCGTCGACGCATCACCGATGCATCTGAGATGCATTGGCGATACGGTGCCATCCTCCGACCCCATCAACAAGCTCTCGAAAAATTGCAACCGGAGCCCCTGACCCTATCTTTCTGCGCCGTTGTTCGACCGGCTCGATCTGCCAGGGTCCCGACCACGGAACCGGGCAACAACGCCCAGAAATGCTACGTCCTGATTTTTTCAATACGGGGTCCCTGGAAGTCCCAACCTTGTCCCTAGGGCCAGCGTTTCATCCCCCGCCGCCCCTTGACGGTCCAGGGGCACGGCGAGGGCTCCCAAAGGCCGAAAACGGCCACACACCTCCCGCCCTGACTATGCCACGACGCGAACGTGTCTGGGTCGGGGATTCCTCAAAGGGCCCCTGGCCCAAAGTGCCCCCAGCTTTTCGCTCAAGGGGCCCTCTGGGCCTCGTGAGGGGCGTTCTGGAGGCTGGGGGGGGGTCCCCATTGAAAATCCTGGGGGAACCTTCGGCCAGCGGCACTTTTAGCATCGCCCGACTGGGGGGCGTCTGCGGGCGCGCGGACCGCATGCCCCGACATGCCTCCAGACGGCCCAAGAGGTCTCCATGAGCGCTCACCGGATGGGCGCAAGAGGCAAAAACAAATGATTCTCCATCGATTTTTCTGTGTTTTCGAAGGTCTCGACTTTTCGAGCTTCCAGCGCTTCACGACGTCTCAAGAGGTCCCCAAGACCGTCCCGAGACTGCTCAAGAGGGCCCCAAGAGGGCCCCAAGACGGCCCAAGAAAACCCCAAGACGGCCCTAGAGGCGCCCAAGACGCCCCAAGAGAGCTCTGAGGCGGCTCCAAGAGGGCCCTAAAATTAACACACATTTAACACAAACCGCTTCCTCGTCAAGGACGGCGGCGTGTTAAATTTGTGCTCAGTTGTTGGGGCTCTGGGGCCTCCCTGGGAGCTCCCTTGGCGCCCCTTTGGGCTCTCCCAGGCTATCTTCGAAAGCTCTCGTGGGGGCCTGTGGGAGTTTCAGGAGAGCCCCAGAAGGTTTCTGGAGGCCCTGGAGGTCCCACAGGTCTCCATAGTCATAGTCCAGAGTCCCCAGAAAAGCAAACCATGCCACAGAACGCGCAATCGTCCGTTCACGTCCACAGACGACGACAATCACCACCACCACCACGACCACTACGACGATTATTAGGATGATCATCGCGACGGCGGTGGCGGTGGTTGCGGCGGCGGCGCCCGCGGGGGCGGCGGCGGCGGCGACGACGGCCTGGCGGCCCAGAGCTTCTGGGGCCCTCCTCGGCCACCGTGGCAGTCACGGCACTTGCGCAGACTGGGAAACATTCGGAGCCTTCCGATGCGTCGCGCGTCGGAAATCGCACGGCTCCGCGAACGCCCACCGAGCCCTAAGCCCCCGAAGGCCCAGCACCTCCACGTAAGGGCGGCCCTTGCCTGGGGAACCTCGCCCTGGGTATGTAGGGTTTCGTGGGTCAGCGCAAGGTCCACTGACAACGACTAAACAGGACCCCTCCGGATCCTTGGCCCCAGGGGCACCCTGGACGCCCTTGCAGACGGTCCCCTGTGCTTTCTGGGGCTCCTGAAGCAACCGCTGGGCCTAGGCTACGGGCCCAAATCGGTCAGGGGGAGAGCCCACAGGCCCCAGACACCCACCAGACGCCCCAAGACGACCGGAAAAAAAAAACCCTACGAGGCATTCGGAACGCACAAAA